AAAAATATATATAATAATTATATATGTAAAATATATGTAGCAATATATTTTTAAATAAATGATAATGAAAAATTATTACGAAAAATACACCCAGTGCAAAGTTTCTGCTCAGGTGAGAGGAAATTTGCAGCACCTCTCCCTGACAGAAAGACCTGTAATGAGGATATGGAGGTCACCATTTACCCAGGTCCCTCATGACGAGTCTCCTGAGCACTTTGCTCTTCTGTAACTAGAGATTACAGCAGGGGAGTGTTTGTATGAGCTACGGCCACTGTACTGTCTCGTCGCTGATCCAGCCCAGCGCAGCTCGGTGCTAAGTACGTGTGTCAGGAGTAGAGAGGCTGCCTTAGAAGATCAGAGGTTTAATCTGGCAGCCTGTCTCTGTAACTACTTGGTCAGCATCACAAACAAACCCTTCATGTCGTGGAGGCAATCCCAGTTATTTTGCTTCCCGAGAGCCAGAAATTCCTGCAGAATGCAAATGCTGAAGAATAGCGTGACAGAAACCCACGAGAAACTACACATACCTGACAGGTTTGGTTTTTGGTTTTTTTCTTAGTATTTTAAGTCAACCATTATTTTATGAAAGGGGAAAAGAGTAACGATAAAAATAATAGATTGACATATTTTATCCTCTTTGCTGTAACTGCAGTAGTCCTTTTACTGGTAGACTCATTTGCTGATATGTAAGATTTCTGATACCTTATATTTAATCATATATTGTGTCAAGGCACTCTACAATTTAACTTTGTGTTATGGAAAAACATGCCTCCGGTCTCCATTTTTCAATTTTGTTTTTCAATATCCAGATCTCTCTCCCGCGTACTTGCACAATTACCATTCCCATCAATTATGAATCCGTAATAAAACTGCTCTGCAAGACAAATGCTTTGAGTCTCCTCATATGAATCGTGTAAAAATTGTTTACTTACCAATATTCATCCAATAGATATGCAAAGGCGGGATGCCTTTCGGGGGGTTACAGTGCAAAATCACAGAATCGCCGTGCTCCACATCAAGGGGCTCAATTTTTTCTTTTGGGAATTTTGGCACAGCTGCACAAAAGCAAAGAAGTTCCTCTTTTATTGCTACCTTTTGAAATGTTGCCCTTCTGCTTCCCCCTTAATATAGTTCTCAGTAAAACATTAAACTTAACATCATAACATCATCACTAATAATGCATTTTACTAAGAGCAGAAAATCTCCGCTAGTGTTCTTCATTCACAAAGTGCACAGAAACTGGTACTGAAAGCCAAGCAAACTGGTGTTTAAGGCTCGTTCGTGATGTCTGGAGGCTTTACTGAGGCTTTATTTTAATGCATTTATTTTCAAATGCTTTCTACAGCTCCTTTGTTTGTACAAAGCCTGGAAGGGACAACTTGAACCCCCACAGAACCAGTAGCCTGAGGCTAAGATCGGCGTAGACGACCAGGTGCTATTTCTGGGAGATCAGAAACTAGTGTGGGAGTGTAGCGTGTTCTGGGAAGTCTTGGCTAAAAAGTGATTCCCAAGAAGCCAGTGCAAGTCAACGCAGGTGAGGACAGACATCAGGCAGCTATTCCACCTTGTGTCTGGAGTTGTCCCAATGCTTATCGGTCTTAAGAATCAGATGAAGCAGAAGTCTGGTTTAAAGACCATGTTGCTTCCTCATCCCCTTGGGTGTACAAGCTCTGCTGTGTAGACCTTCTCAGCAAGCTTGTCCTTCGGGATGCACAAATGGACACACGGGATGCACTATTAGGGTTTAAATATAGGTTAAATTATGAATGGAGATCAAGGACTTGTTTCATCACCCGGAGCATCGGCACCAATGCCAGCAGATTGTTCAAAGCTTGAACCACACTTGGCAAACATGGATAACTTGGCCAGTCTTGGCAGCCCAAAAAGCAACCGGAATGCATCCAAAAAGAGGGGGAGCAGAGCTGGGCTGGAGCCTCCATCAGACCAAGGACTGGGAGGCTGCAGCTCAGAGATTATTGTGACGGAATTAGTCTGCAAAACATAACCACTCCTTAACCAAATTTAGCTAAAGACAGTTTCAGGGCAGACGTCTTCTGTTTTCGTTTCAGGCAAGTTCAAACTAGCAAAAGTTTCAGTTCTGGCAACTGCATTAGACAGTAAAATTATCAGCAATTAAATGGAAAGGAATGAAAGCATCCTGGGCTGTGCAGAGTCAAACTGGCACAGTGAATAGTGCCATCCCAGTGTTCAAAGGAACTCTTGACAGTGAATAAACCATCTGAAATATCCATGGCCCAGTGGCTCCACAGGATACCTGCAGGGTCACGTTGCAGGAGCAAAACTGAAGGAGAAGGGTGAGAAAGGCGGTGCCAGGACTCAAAGACGACTTTAAACGTTGCAGGATTAGTAAATAAAGAAAAAGAAGCAATCACAATAATGCTGATTGCCTGAATGCAGATTGTACATAGATTTTATCTCCAGAAGGATTATTAGTACGTTATGAATTCTTAGGAGAGGCAAAACAGAGAAAATGAGCATTACCTACTCTGTAGGTGATATTTCAGATAACAAAGGGAATTATATATTCAAATCCAGTACGTTCAATTATCTACAGTCTTCCAGCCCTGGAAAACATATCTACTGATTGCTGGAGAGGTGGAACATTCTCTAGCAGGAAAGAGACAGTTTAGTGATCTAACACTTACTTATTTCCAAAAGCACATCACCCTCAACAAAACTTTCTTAAAGTTGGATCAAGGATAAGGGGTTACAGACTAAACCAAAGAGATCAGGAAAATAGACTAATAGTGAGATCACTCATCAAGGACATCACAAACTTGTTCAAATACATTTTTTGCCTCATTTGGCACAGCTAAATCTGGGTCTCCAAAATGCCAGCTGGGAGCCATAACCACTGGTCTTCTCGGTCAGTTTCTGTAGCAAATAATTACAGAATTATACAGAAATGTATTAATTCTCACCAGGAGACAGTGATAAATCACGGTCTCTGTGTCATTAGCGTGCAGTGTAGACATTCATCTCCAGTGTGTGGCCCAGATGTTTGCCTCTGGACTTCACTGGGGGAAGCAGCAATTTGAACCCAGATGTCCTCCACCTCCAACAAGCACTTGAGCCACAGGTGGTCAGGGCTTCTGGGTTCTTCCCTGTTGCTTTATTTCACTTATTCCATTGTGAAAAACATGGAAAAGCTTTCATTTTTTCCTTTTGATGCGTAGCTTCGAGTGTTTTGAACCCGTGAAGTTCTGCAAGAGAGGAAAACTCAACTTTCATGACAAATTCCTGAGCCAGACCTTCTGACAAGCATATATCCTTGCTGGGGTCCCATTGGTCTCAAAAACTAGAATAATAACTGCTTCTGGATTCTGCATGGAGAGATTTATTAAAATTAAGAAGCTGCTATTACATTAGATTTCAGCTCTTGCACATTGGTCTTCAGTATATGTAGGCATTTTTTTTTTCTCCGTGTTCCTCTGTTTTAATTAGTAGATATTCCAGAATCAATCACTACTGATTTGTGGCTGATCACAGAAACTATCCAGCTCGAAAAGCATCATACAAAATTAATTGCACCATGAAAGTGTTTAATACTGTATGGAGTTATCAATGCAGCACATGGACACTGTAAAATTTACAACCAATTGATCTCTTCGCAGTGATACCATTAAAACTGTCATGTCAATCTTTCATGCAATTCCCCACACACAGATATAATGAGAGGGGACAGAGAATCCAGCATTGCTCCAAGCGCTACCTCTCACATATCCATAATACAGGGGAGAAGAACGTTATTTATTGACTCTGGGAAAGGCTTGTTGAAGGGCCAGCAGGACAGCTCTCACGATGCAAGTGATCAACAGCCATAGGGAAGATGAAGAACTGCACACCTGGCTTCTGCTATGGAGACAGCTTCCAAAAGCCGACCGTGACATACAAGGCTCTCAAAATAATCCTGGGAAAGGCTTCGCCTTCAAAAAACAAAGCCACAGTGCTCTAACAGCGTGTAAATCATAGAAATAGAAGATTATCAGTGTCCAGAGTCATTTGTGCAAGGAACCAGGCTCTGTTTAATCCCTGGGGTGACTCAAAGTTTAATGACTGAACTGTACTTGAGATTAGGTTGAAATACCACTGGCAAATTAGGCTGCCCATGAGAAGTTTCAGAGAGGAGGCTGGGATACTCTTTTCTACTTCTTATCTGTTCTGAAAATGCAGTATCTCAACGAAAAGCAAGCAGGAGAGAGACCAATGCAATGCAATATAAAATCTTTCTTTGAGTTCTGCAGGATAGATTCAGATACATAGCACAGATTCAGAAACATAGCAACCACAGTTGGGGTACTACAGTTCCCAGCAGGATGCAACATGGGAGTCAATTCATTACGGTAAATCAGCAGTTAGCAAACATTTGAGGAAACTATTGTAGGAAAACTTCATTATACATTATAGCGTTCTCTGTAGATGCTGCTGGAGATGTGTCTTGGGCTAGACGGATACTTAGCTTGACCCACCATGGATATTCTTAAGAGTTCTTGCATGGAAACGAATCCTTAAAAGATGTGAGAGTGAGGAAAAGTGGAAACAGTCAAGAAAATTCCTACATCCTGGAAATTCCCTGCTCCTCAGACACTTTAACTGGTAGCTGACTGATTTATTATACAGATCTATATCTTGGGCAGCGAACAGCTCACACAACACATCAAAGAATCTTAAATGTGACTTAAATGTCGCTGAGCCCACAAGTTCTCCTGCGCACAGCAATCATCTTGAAGCATCAATTGATATTCTGATCGACGTAGTATAAGCAGCAGTTAAATCTGTAATGTTCATTGCAGCCCTTGAACTGTTTATGAGAGATGATCCTGCTTATTTATGGATTTTCTTTTTAATTGCTGTATTTAATTGAAAAAGTTAGGAAAGTCTGGCTGTCAGAGAATCAATGATGGCCTTTTGGTCTGTGTAAATCTCTCTCTGTTGCCGCTTCCAGAACAATGATTGTAGGCAGCAGAGTGATCCCAACTATTCAGATGGCCAGAAAAGTTGTCAAAGGTACAGGACACTGGTTTAGGAGGCAAGGGGTGTAAATTTAATTCCCATCACCTGCGAAGTCTCAGCGAGTTACTGTCTTGTTTTCTCTTGCACAAAGGCTATACTGAACACCTTCCCAAAGGGTGCTGCTGAGACATCCTAATTTTAGCATCAGCTCACTGTCTTTTAATGATTTCACAATATTCACCTTTGGTTTTTTTGACTGTTACTGTAGGTTTTGCTTTCTTTGGGAATTCTAGAACTTCACTGGCACAGCACAGCCTGCCACGGGACAATTTTCTGTTCACTGTGTTAGATCCTCGGAACTTTTGGAGCAGCGGCTTTAGAAATCCCGAGCATAAATCTTGATGTAGTCTACCATGAGGAGCCTTGTACACTCGAGTTAATTAAAGAAGTTTAAACTATACTTCTTCTCCTTCCTCTGGCATCAGGCCTGCTCAGTAATTCAGCTTCCCTCAATACAGGAGGAGGGTAGCTGAAGCCTGTGTTCTCACCATTTAAATTCATTTTCATGCTGCATGTATCCTGTAACAATCTGGACCTTGTGAACGATGCAAACACAGACAGATCCTCAGACTCCATTCTTCCTCACTCTCCTTAACGTCATCCTATATAGGGGAGGTGTGGTATTTTCATTATGTAGGTGAGATTTAATGATCACTTCTGCTGACATTTCTGTTGCTTTCCTGGAATGACAACTGTGAGTAAACAGTCTTTTGTTCTCCTTTTCAGCAGCAACCTTACAAACCCAGCATTCTTCTGCAGTGTAAATGTAATTTATGAAAAAAAGTCTGACTTGCTGGGTTTTTCTTCACTTCGTTGGCGTAGTGACTTGCCAAGTAGCTTACATTTGCCTTGAATACAGCTGGCAAAGCACTTCCACCTCTGCATCATTATCATGAATGCTTGTAGTGATCTCACATGTACCAGTCTCTGCTTCAAAACTTGTGGGTGAATAGAGGTAATTTATCCCAAACTCTTCTGTGTCGGTGATTGCCTAATTTACAGCGGATCTGTGCACCAGCAACTCTCTTTCACTGGAGCACAGTTGTAGACTATCCAGCACTTTAGAAAATCAAAGGTGGCTTCTACTACTCTGAATCCTGATTTAATTTGCAGTGTCTACATTGCATCTTTAAATGAAAGGATCAATGCCAGAAGAGTATGAATAAAAGTAAATGCGCCTTAAAAGGTGCGGGAGTCGGGTAAATCCTCTAACATCTCATCTGTACCTTTTACTTATGTTAAGGATTTAGGAATTTGCATGTATTAACATGAAAATTCCTGCCCCAATTAATTTATTGCTAACTACTCCAGTATATTTAATATTTCCTAAAGCTAGTATAGACAATTTTTCACAAAAAGTAAAAATTATCTGCTTTGAGTATATATATATATTTGAGTATATACGATCTCAGATGCAGACATCAACTCGTTTCTGTTTTCTGTCCCTATGCATCTTTTTTAGTTCAGTAGCAATGGAGTACTGGACTATTCTGCTGCTGGAGGTGACATACCTTCACTGAAACACGACACTGAGGTCTTGAACTCCTCTGAAAATTAATGAGCCTGAGACACTTTGCTTAAGAGACGTTGTATTAACCCCACCGCCCTGGCCAGGCTCCAAAGTGAGTAATTAGGTCCTGTCTAAAGCTCTGAGTATCTACATCCCTCTCCAATTCCTGCCTGAAAATCCAGTTGGTGCCAGCTGCCCGGTCCTACCTGTGGAGCCAACTTACATCAAGAGCTCAGCAAACCTCAGTTTACTGACCTAAATCTTTGTGCACTTCTCCTTTAGTCAGGAAAGCTACTCCCTTAAAGCTACTCCAAGTTGGCAGAGACTAAACCATAGAGCAATACATGTCATCTTGGTAATTCTTCACCAAACACCAACTCACCGCTATAGGGAATACTCTGCAACATGAAATACATTTCCCAAGGACAAAAAAAAATCTATAAGGCTGGAAGGAGAATAAATTGTGCACTCATAAAAATATATTTATATGGCATCCTTAGCAGCCCTCTCCCAGGAACACTCCCAGCCCCTGTCATGTGTCTTATGATTGACGTGACCACGACTCTGCCACCCCCAGCTATGCCTGGAGTGCTTCTCAGTCCGAAAAAAAATCCCACTGCACCGCTGATTCTCTTCTTCATCTGTGTCACTCAAGTATATCACGTTCTCCTCCTGTCGCACCACAGAGTCAGGGAAGTTTCGTCCTTTCTATTCCCACCAGGAGTGGGAATTTGAGACCAATTGTGTCTCCATCTTCCCATCTTACTTCCAAACGCGTTGGTACAAAGCCGGTTGTTCTAATCAGGACCTTGGACTTTGTATCAATAAATTTCATCCCACTTCTATAAATCTAGTCCTCTGCCTTCCCTCTGGGCTAATGACAGAAAGACAAGTTTCTAGCATCAGGAATTTTCCCCACTATATTTTTGAGCTCATTTTTCATTCAGTTCCAGGTCTTTAATCTTCTCCCCGTAAGTATTTATACCAAACCCTGAATGTTACTGACATCAGACTAATGAACTCACAGTTGATTGGATCACTTCCCCTTGAGCTTTCAAATATTTGCATCGGTTGCTATTTTGCAGTAATAAACTGCTATTTCTCCCCACCTTCCCCCCAGCTTTTGATTTCATCTTCCTTGCTCTGAGATGGAGACCATATTCTCCTCCCAATTTCTGGGCACTCAGTCACGGTTGCCAAGCTGAAATATTACAGTCTTATCACTCTTAACAGCATTTGCCTCCCAATAAATATTTGGAAAGGGAAAGCATCACATAATTCCTAATTCTTTATCACAGAAACTTCTCTGGTATTAGAGAGATTACTCCAAATTTGACTCAGTTCTCCCAAACTCACAAAGTGTCTTTTACAGCACATCCCCAAAGACATCTGACTCAAACCAATTTTGTTTTCTCTGACAATGACTTCCTATTGTTTCATTGCCCACCACATTTTTGGTATATTTCTAATATTATTTCATGATCTATGTCATTATTTCTATTTTTTATGAACAGCTAACATCTTTCACTAACTGTACTGCAACTAAAAAAGCTACTCTGCTGCTCTTTATTCTACTTATCTCTCCAAATATTTTAATTTTGGTATTTTCATAATGTGCTGGCATCAGCTCACAAATTGTCTCTGCCCAGATTAGGTAAAGATTTTACCAGACTACAACTCTCATCAATATTCATGCTTTCTTCTATACAAAAAGAGAAAAGTATTAGAAGTGGAAGCATGATGAGCAAATAGTGTCTCTAAGCAAACACAAATCAAAAAGGAATTCTTATGGGTTTTATGGCAAAGGCAAAGCAAGTGCTTCATAAAGGCATTTAAATAGTCAAGACAAAGCAAACAATAATTTTGTCATTGAACATTCAGCTCTCCTGAGATGGCTGTTAAAAAGTTTATACTCATTTACCCTCTTATCCACCCTCTAGAGGCAAAGTGGGACAGATAACACTCAGAAAGCAAAGGTAAATAATAAATGTTTTCCAAATTAATGTATCTGGGAAAACATACACATAATCTACTCAGTTGCATTTGCATTAATTGAAGTTGGTAAGTGATGCTTTGTCAGTGTCAGCGCTTGGAAACCTGAGAGGAGTCGGAATTGTCTGAACTCCTGCATTCAGCTTCAGTTTCTGTCTTCAAAACCAGGAATGAAATAAAACCATTCCAGGGAGCACATAGAGTTTTTTCCCTCCTAGTATTCACTGAGTAAAAAATCAGGCATGTTTTACCATACGCCACCTCAGTAAGTAGTTCCTTCCCATTTAATGTGAGAAAACTCAGGTTTCATCTTAGAAAGAAACAATGACCAAACCGCAAGGAAAGTAAAAGCCCTTACTTGGAACAATTAGCTCAATTTCTTCCGACATGGCAGTTCCCAGCCCGTTGGATGCAAAGCAGCGATATTTCCCTTGAAAATTGGTGATGATTCCACGGTTTTGAATCACAAATGTTCCGGAGTTGTTTGACGCAACTATCCTCGGGTCAGATAATAAATCAAACGGTTTTCCATCCTTAGTCCAGTTAAAGCTGAAGAAGAATAGAAGTGTCACAAAACAGGCAGCACTATGGTACAAACACCGTCGTAAATACGGATCCAACAGTGCACTATTAAAATAAACAGAAAAACTTGACTCAAGAGGAGAGAGTTGAACGGTAAAATGCCCACTGTGCTACCATAACTTGTGTTAGCTTGTGGGCATGTCTCTCCTATTGAACACGTTACTTTTGGATAACTCACTGTGACATGAAATAAGAATACAGAGCTTAAGGCAAGGACAATAAATCCGAGCAGCCATCTGTGAAAGCAAGAGTCACACGGTGAAGGGGACCAGAGGTCTGCAAAAAAGCTGTGTCTGTAGGAGAATGGGTGCCTTTGGCTGGTACGGATTGACAGATGTTCTCACCATCTACAGGAGGTACCGTGGTTAAATTCAGGAGAAACTGAGATGACTTGACTGAGTTTCTCCTGGTCTTGACACAGAAACGCTTGTACTTTTGACGCTAGCAGGGTGTGATTTTGATGAATGCTGAAGTATCGGTCATAGTTTATGAATCTGGAAATCTCAGATGGACTAAAAAGAGGCTAATCTGATGCAAAATCAGAGACAGTTGGCAATTACAGTATAACATGCGTTTAGCGGAAGAGGCATTTTTTTAACATTTTGCAATGTTTTAAGAGAATAAAATGCCAACAGAAATACGTATTTTGGCACTTCACTGTATTGGTAAACCTGCCTTGCTACAGTATGTTGGGAAATATGGTTTCTTGTCACCTAATCAGCACTATCACATACATTTAAATACACCAGAAAACTTTTCATTGTCCTGCTAATCAAGAGCGAAAGAAAGGAAATTTGTTACCATGCTACACATCTCCATTCAGAGCCCAATTCAAAATGAAAAAATCATCTTGACATGAAATATAACGTCTTCTCAAAGCAAGTTTAAATTGTGTTGCAGAGAAAGAAGACGAGAAGGCTAAAGAACAGAAATGACATGCAAACCAACTCCTGATTTAGCCCATGCTCTATGAACAGGTTACCAGATATCAGCTACTCCTTCCCTCCTCAGGACCAGACCAACGTTTGGCAAAGGCAAAGAAAAACTCAAGTTTCTGCTCGCCTCTCCGAGAGAAGGCAGTACTCACGTGGGCTGTGGGTTTCCTTTGGCTTCACATTTAATTGTAAAGTCCTCATCGAAAGGGTAGGCAACCTGGGTGTGAGACTGCTCCGTGATTGTTGGAAGCTGCGTAACTGAACACAAAGGGGCACTGGGTTAAAAAGTCATTCAAGCAAAACCGAGCTCCACTCAGGTCCTTTCTTCAAAACGGACAACGCCAGGATTGCCTTACTCCTGCAAACAGTGAGGCTTGCCTTAAAAAAAACACAAAACCAACCCCTCCGGGGCAGAGGAGAGCTGGGGCGACGCTAAAGCCAAAGCACAGGGTGTGGACCAGCACATTTATTCAGCGGTGAAGTCAATGTTTGGCTTTTTCATCCAGACACACGCTGCTGCCACCATCCTGGATAAATTTGCCAGGAAATCCACGGATGGCAAAGATGACTTAAGACCCGCTCCGGGGTACGGCAGGGGAAGAGCCGTTACGAGTCGCACGGTCACGCAGCGATGTTTCTCTAACTTATTTTTTTTTCTAAGGGAATTAAAGCGTTGCAAACGCCCATGTAACGGAGCCGCGCGAGGGAGAACGCTCCCCGCAGTGGAGCTGGGGATAATAGGATCACTGCATTGTTACAAACAGCCAGGAAGAAAATTAACACGCTCTTCGGTTTCTTTTTTAAGTCCAAGAAGCTCAAAGCTGGAGCAAAACATCATATCTTGCTATACCATGTGGTCTCAAAGCCCAACACTTTTATGCTCATGATCAGAAATAATTCCTTTTTTACTAAAATATGAAAGGCTTGATTAAAGCAAATTAAGTACTAGATGGTTCCCCTGTGTAGGTACTTAAAAGAAGTGGATGCCCAGATGGTTTGTCCTGCACTTTACAGTCACAGCTCCACGTTTGCTTCATTTAAACACAAGGAACCACTACGGTAACTCCTCCAAAAATTAAAATACTTCCAAATGCTGTTAAAACAAGTTTGGAGAGCTTTAGAAAAATATCTGATAAACCTGCTTGATTGCCTTCTCTTTTGGAGGCAGGGCTATGGGCAGACTGCAGAGTGCCGAGAGCATGATGGCCTGAAACTGGCCCATGTCGTGCTTGGAGGCTACAGGCACTCAAAGAGCCTAAGTTTCCTTTTTCTTGTGTTTATTTATTTAATCTTTCCCACCATAACTGATAAAAAACAATATATTTGCAGATTGCCTTGTTTTTCGGTTGGTTGGTTGTTTTTTCTTCAAAAAAACCCCCAAACTACAGTTTGCAATCCTCCTGCTCCACTTAAGTTTGGAAAACTCCGAGCTTGGGAGGTCTGGGCTGGACTCCAGGCAGAGGGGTTCACTGGCTTTCAGTGGATTGTCCCCTCTGAGCCTCTTACCATATTTTACACGTGTCCTGAAACCCCACCAAGCGTGTAAAACAGGCAGTTTGAATGCATCACAGCCAGAGAGGGACAAAGAAGGAGCTCCCCAGGGTGGTTGGTGAGGCGTAGTAACCACTTCTCCGGGGACTAATGTACACCCCGAGACATACACCTGCTCCTTTCAGACTGAAACGGCAGGTTGCAAGACAAGGAAGTGAGGGTATCCGTACGTTAAACGAGCCTCAGGGTGATTCAGAGCCAAAATGAGGTATTTATGTGAAGGAACAAACCAAACCCTTGGAGCCAAGCGGGGCACTGGATTGCAAAAACCAGATATGTGTTATCAGATGAGTTTACTGCTGTATTTAAACAGGTTCAAACAAAGTAGCTTATGTTTTTATCGCATCTGAATTTCCCAAAGGCTATGTTCAGGCAGAATTAAATTCAAAATGGAACAACTGAAAAGTAGGATTTAATAGTGTGGGTTTTTTTTTCCTTCGGGGGAAGGTTAAAAGAAATAAAAAGAAAAAAAAATAAAAGGGATTCCAAAACAGTAAAGTAAAGTGGTCAGTAAATAGCTACAACTCACCTGATAGTGGTATTTCAATAGCTGCTGCCAAACTCAATACAAAGAAAAACAGGCATATGGTGATCCCTTTTGTGCTTAATAGCATCTCCATCACTCTTCTGTAAACAAGGAGTCCAAACAGAAGGAGAGATACTTTATGCTTACTCTCACCGTCACTTCAGATCAGACGTAGAGGAGGTGAAACTGAAAGTCTAGCGAGAGAAGAAACAGCCACGTTAGCTTGCAATATTAACTTGGCTCTAACAATATGACTGAATGCAAGCAATGCTTCAGGATTTGCAGCTCAATTGCAAATAGCACTACAATTCCCTCTCCTTGGCTTCAGGAAGGTCCTCTATTAAATTTCTAACCAAAAAAAACCCCACATGCACAAAAGTACAAATCCATTATAGCACTGAAGTATAATTATTTTTTGTTTTGCAATTAAAAGTAGGGATGGTTTAAAACATGGTATATTTGTAATCATTCCAGTTCATAAATTCTTCTAATGGGAGTTGTGTAGGTTGGAAAATAATGTAACAGATCTAATGAGAGAAATTCAGTACACTAATGACCCTGTTGATAAATCTCACATGTCTCATCTTTCACTGATGTTTAAAAAAGGACAGTCTAATTTAGTACATCAGCAAGGACCAGAGCATGAAATCTTTGCTTTCCTTCCATAATCCTAGAACCACTATATGTAGGTTTTACACAACCCATTATACATCCTTAGATTCTGCGTTACAAGGTAAAAAATGTCAGGCAACTGCTAAAAGGACACATATTCAGCTCTAATGAGCATTTAAGTGTAATTCACAGAGGCATAAAGGAGAGAGAGTTCTGCAAATGTGGGTGTATGGGGGATTCCAGTCGCCAGCATCATTCACAGGATCTCAGTAAAATATGAACCAGCATAAGATATGCTCTGTATCCAGGCATCTTCTAGCATACAGTGCTTAAGGGACAAAGGACTCAAGAGAATTCAAGAGAATTTAGACCCCAGTTGTCCAAGTTAGCTTTACAGCAGCAATTTTCAAGACAAGGGTACTGTGCTGGAGGTAAGGACCAGCACGCGACACAGTGAGCTCTCGCTCAAGCCTCCGAATTCACAGAGTTATACGACAATGGCAACATATTTCCAGGCAAAGTCTGGCTCCCACATCGCTCTTGTATCTTCGCACCGGCCACCTGGTTAATCCACGGATCAGAAAAGCAATCCCGGGATGACCGAGAGCTGTCAGCACATGGGGGCAGGCAGGAGGTGGGACCCAGGCAGGGGGCTGGGGATGCTCGCCCTTGCCCAGCACATCTGGCTGCAGCTGGAGCAGAGATAGTACCAGCACATGCCAGTCCACGACAGTTTGCTCCTGATGGTTTGCTGGATCTTTACAAAAAGACAAGCATGAAGCAGAAATTTCTCTTTCTTCCCGGCACGATTCCTCTCACGTCAGCTCTCGGAGATGAGCAACAGGTTGTGCTGCAGCTCCTTGTCTGGAGGCATTAGCAGGATAATTTCTGTTCACTCGGTCACCAGTTCAGGAAAACTTTCTGGAAGTTTAAGTCTTTGAGACCAAAATCCCTGGGCGAACATTGAAATTGGCCAACAAGGGGACAAGAGACAGACACTGTAATCACATAAGCCTCGTTTCTTTAGAAATGAGGCTAAAAAGCAGATGTCTTATAAGTATCTTAGGCATCGAGTGTTTGCTGATGGAAGAAGCTGACTAATCTGCTTAGTGCCCCACTTTGCACAGAGGGACAGCACAGAAGGGCATGGGAGGGGATGGGGACACACCAGATCAGCTGCCCCCACCCCCCTCAGGTTGTGTCTGGGTGCAAACTGGGCAGAATCAAGTAATATCAGTTCTCTTTCATGGCAGTTGTTACTTTGCTCAGTTTGATTTCTCCTAGCTCTGACTTGTGAGCGATAGACCTTTCCAAACCCCAGTCTAATAAAATTGGGGCTGTATCACAGCATGGGAGAGTACCCAGGACCCGCAGTCACACCACAGCCCCAGCTGACAGCTACCTGATGGCTGCACAACTCCTGCCACCGCAGGGCTGGGCTTCCCCACCCTGCCTTACTTGGTCCTGGCAGATGCTCGCTTCCAGATCTATCTGTGTCATCGACGGTAAAACAGATGCTCTGACAGCAAACCCTCTAGCCACACAATTGCAATTTAGGCTTACAAAAACCTGACCAGTGTTGCTGCTTGCAGATGGTGCATTAGCAGCAGCAAAGCCCTCCTCTCCCCACACATCTGCTGAGAAGCGCTGGGGACCAGAGGAGCTCGTGGCAGGACAGCAGCCAGAGGAAGGGGAGCTGAGATTACAGGAGGTGTGTGGCTTGCTAAAGCTTCAGGCTGAGGAGCAGGAAGTTTCTTTTTATATGAACATTACAAAGCATTGTATAGATTCAGCTTAAACTTGAGAAAAAGCAGGAAAACAGCTCGATTCCTCAACCAAACCCATTAACTCATGCTTTTTTTTTCTTGTTTTTAATAAACTGCCAGAGAGCAAAGAAGAAATACACTAAATAAGCAGGCTATCTTTTATCATGTGGTACGGCACGACTTGCCTCTGCAGGCTGCTGTAATTAGCCGCTCTGTCTAGCACCTCGCTCGTTTTCTCTGTGTTGAATACTAATGCCGGGGCCGACAGCACCAGCATTTGGAAGCAGCACTGGGGGGCCGACGGTGCTGGACTTGTGCACAGCAATCACACACTGCTTCCAAAAGCCACTTGGAAATGTCCCTTGCAGCTGCATTTAACCTCTGCTGTTTTATCCCGTAGCATTTCCATGAGGTACAGTCCCGGGGTGACAGAAATTAAGCAACAGTGTCTTCACGGAGGTATTTACCCCATGATAACTATCCAGCAAGATAAGCCTCCTGTTCGGATGTTATATATATTGCCCATAATGGAATACCAGAGGCGTTATCCGGGCTCTGCTGGGTGTAACAACAGTTATTATGAAAGGTTAACACTTAACGCACATCTCCCTGATGTTTCTCACTCAACCGGTCGCTCTTCCATGCCCTGGTCTGGACAGCGATGATCCTCAGCAGACAAGTCAGGTAAGAGATGCGTCCTCCCCGCAAGGAGACTATGTCAAGCCATTAACCTTATTTAAGGTGATGTACTGACAGGGCTGCCAAGCACGAGGTGTTTGGTAGGGCTGTCACACGTTTGGCTG